CCATGATTTTTATTTAAATTTTTATTATACATATACAGGGTGTTTTACATTTGTGGTCCATTAGAAGTTTTAGATATCGATTTAAAATTTTTAAAGCGTATTTAATCCTTTTAAGTCTATTTTTCTAAAATATTTTAAACAAAATGCCATTTCTGGTTTAACCACAAGTGACAACTTTGTTATCTTAAATAGAACACACCATATGTTTTTACTTTTTTAAATTCTGTATAAAATTCTATACCATGTTCTATACCTGAAGTGAATGGTTTTCGAGATAATTTTTTTTGTTAAAATTTGACAAATGAGCGTCAATCATAAATAGCCTATAACTTTTTTATTAATGGATTTACGGATATGGAGGTGGGATTTTTGGAAACTTAAAGCATTGTTTAAAAGATTTCATGTTAATTCTTTAACATTTTTCAACAAAATACCTGGAAATTATTTCCGAGGCGAAAGCCGAGGCAAATAACCACGTGAGTGATAAAAAATGACTTTAATGCCGAGGTGCATATTAAATTTTATCCGAAATCACATTTAATAATACTAATAATTAATATTGATGATTAAATCAAATGTCATTTGATGATTAAATCAAATGTCATTTGATGATCAAATCAAACGTCATTTGAATATAGGAAGTGTCTACGTTTGTTGCGACGGTATTAATAGTAGTAATATATTTGCCCGCCGCGGCGATTTTTTAATCTAATTAATAAAATAAACTTATTATTTTTATTAAAAAACATTTTATGAAAGGGTCCAATCGACCTCCGCGACAGTGCTTTTTTAACATTATTTAGTTGCTGCTGAATCTCTTGATTTTTAAGATTATAAATGATTCTTATTATTGTCCGAGCTCAGTGTTGCCAATTGAGGAGTGATTTTTCAAAAGGTCGTATTTCCATTTGCAAAAATTTTTCAAAAAAATGACTATAACCTATATAGGTTAGGGCAATATAGATTATTTAAAAAAAATTCTGATGAATATTTAATAATACTTCAGACCTACTGTCATATTTTGCCGTTAATATATGCCTTTTAACCATATCTTTGGGATTTTGTCAAAAAATTACATTCAAGTAAAAATGGAAATAAGGCCTTTTGAAAAATCACTCCTCAATTATGGTATTTGTACCATAATTTTAAAGGTCAGTACCTTTTATGTTTTAGCGTACCATAATACCATAATTGAGGAGCATCCGTGCAAAACCGGCTAAATCCATTTTATTCAGTTTTTGTTTGTTTTTTTTGATTTCGCATCTTTGGGTTCATTTCTATCGACAACCAAGATAATTCAGTTTAAATCCGACTAAATCCATGTTAAAATCACATTTAAAAAGTAGCTTTAGGAGCAAAACCGGCCAAATCCACGTTTTTTATAGCAAACCCGGCTATATCCAATAAATAATAATATGTGGCTTGGATATGTCGATACTACTACTAAAATTTGTTCTGTTTTTTTATGTTTGCACTATATTTATTTTTTGAATAATAAAGGTTTTTTTACATTTTATTCGTTTTTTATTCGGTTTTCGTGCAAAACCGGCTATATCCAAAACATTTTTTGAAATTTTGTCCTTAATATAAAGTTTTTGAAAACGAAAGTATGTCTTATAAATCAAGTAGGTACCACAAGGCCCACAAAACTCAAGTTTGCTTTTTCTTTTATATGTAAAGGCCAGGAAACCGAGAGTTTTTGCCATTTTCGCAACATTTTATTAAAGTGGATATAGCCGGTTTTGCACGGATGCTCCTCAATTGGACCATATTTTTATCAAAGTTTGTGTTAAAATAAATATGACTTTTGTTCCTAGTTGCTTGGCATAATATTTGTTTGGTGCGTACCATAATGTACCATAATTTTTCTAAATGTGTACCATAATTTTTATTTTGAGGTTGGCAACAATGTCCGAGCTACACATGCTCTATGAGAACAAGAAGAACCACCCCACACACAAACGTTGTAACTCGAATGTGAATAAGCTAAAGCATAATACACCCTCATCAAGTATGCTTGTGGCAGGTTTTTATAATTAAGATTACAAAAAATGCTTTATTTAATTTATCAACCACTATTATATCGATATGTGATGTTCAATTTAAGTCACTATCTAGGTGAAGTCCAAGAAACTTTGTTTTCTTAGAGGGATCAAGATTTACATTGAAAAATGAATTTAAGTGGATTATAAACTCTTTTAAAATTTCAAATCGATATCTGTTTCCGTTTGTATTTCTTGACACATCTGTTAAAACATCATGACGTTACGCGCGATTTATAATAAGTACCTATATAAATTACTTAATTTTGCTGCACTGTGCTAGGCAGTAGATACACTGGTGATTATAATTAAAAAGAATGCCTTAACAGAAGTATTAACACTCTAGATGAGAAAAATAAGATAAATATTTATTATTTTATTACTCGAAGCGAGACCGTATTGTCTTGACACGAAATAGCCGAGCTGCTCGGGCCGTAATTTATCAGATTTTGCATTACTTTCGAACTAAAAGGAGAGGAGGCTTGTTAACATCTACACGCCGTTGTCTGCTGGGTTACAGCAGGTCGTATCAATATTAAATTCCTATTCGATCAAGCAGGTATCTTTAATAAAGTACCAATCGGCGATACAACGGCCCACTGCGATTTAGCACCGCTCCGTACGAGATATTGATGTCGAGTGCTCACTTGGGACGGCGGGCTGGTTATTGGTGTACCAAACACTATATTTAACACAATCGTGACAAGACATCTCCACGGGTCCACTCTCATAATTACATACACCACCTCTTATTGTACCTTTTGGTACTGCCCATCACATATGCAACAGCACCCTTCTACAGTGCTTGCAAATCCAAGTCCGACCGCCTTGGGAAGGATCGTTGTTCAATACCCGCGTGAAAAGAATAAGGATAGAATACCAAACAGAATTTGATTGGTCAGAGCCTCAAGCGTGCGTATTGTAAGCGCCTTCTGTTTGGCGTTCTATCCTTGTTATTTTCACGCGTCCTTCTCAAACCGGTCGGACTTGTGTTTGCAAGCACTGTATAATTAGTTGGACCATGGGTATTTTCACGATCGTTTTTATTATAAATATTTATCGTCACCGTTATTAAACTTCTATACACCTAATATGTTTTTAAACAAGTTATTTTCAAGAAACACCCGCTTTCAGTAAAATGAAGATCAAAATTTTTTTTGCTTAAATTGACTTTTGGTTGGATTTTTATAAATGTTTAGAGTTTTGTTTACTTACATTTAAGACAGGCAGTGCACTTGTTAATTTTTTTTACGTTTTTTTCAGAAAAATGTGTTTAGCTAGCTTTATATGTCTTCCACTGTGTTACCAATTTGAAATCCAAAATTTAATTCAATAAAAAAAGTTGTTATAAAAATAATTTGAAATAAAATGTACAGTCCGTTCAGGCTAAGTTGAGCGCTTTGGTGGGAGATCATGTGACCGTTGATTAAATTAAATATCGAATCCTCGCAAGATTTCGCTAACAAGAAGATGATTTATCAGTGCAGGGGCTTGCGGTTTGTTGGTACAGAGCGGCTACCGAAATATATGTATTTAATTGTACCTAAACATAGAGATAATGGACGGGGTGACATTCCTTAGACCGCTCAACTTAGCCTGAACGGACAGTACTAAGTTCACAAACTTTTGACTCCAATTTTATTTTTTATTAAAAATTGTATGGCTTTTTTAAATATGTTAGTTAAGTTACTTTTTAAAAGACACCATTCCGATTCTTTGTTAAAAAAACAATACCATTAATATTTTCTTTTAGTCACTGTATTAGTGAGTTAAACTCTAATTTATAAACAGGTATTACCAAGTGATAGTAAAATCATTTTAAGGATTTTTTTTAACAAAAACTAAAAAAGTAACGAAATATACATTGGTATCACAACGGACGGGTACACAAAGGACTTAATCAGATAACGTAAAAAAGAAACTATATAGGGTGGTACGATTTTAGAGTAATGCATAAACAAAATCCCTTGTACTGGTGCTCACTTGCAGAATAACAACTTAGATTTCTAAATAATAGACACCCTTTTTTTACCATAAGCTGGTGTCTTTTAGAACTTGTATATTGCGTGGAATTTTCCCTTGGATGTATCTATATCATGAGTTGTAATCACAAATAATTTTAAATTGGTTTATCATAAACTACTTTTAATAAAAGAGACGGTAAATATCCACTTTGTTGTCGAAAAATTCTATTGCGTTACCCTAAATTCCATTGCGTTACCATAAGGCAATGGACTCGGTAACGCAGTGGACAACGTTTTGTGAAACCATATTTAAAAAATAAACAAAAACATGAAAAATAGTATTTTTTCTTACCTTATTTTTATTATTTTTTTGAGTAACTTAGCGGACGAACAATTATTACATTCGCGTTACCCGCACCTGTTTCAACCGATATCTTCTTCCTGATTGAATAAATAAATTCAGCTGGGTAATGTGTACGTCCGAACATCATTTGTTAATCACGTGAGTGCCAAAAAAGTTGCCATATACATATGTTTTTTTAAATATTCTATCGGTAACGTGACGGACGTAACGCAACGGAAAAAATGTCTGGGACACGAGTCAAATTTAAAAAAAAGTAGATTAAAATTAATTAATTTATATATAAATTGTTTACTTTATTAACTAAGGATGTTATGGATTGCTATAAAGCAACACAAAGTTCTGGTTATTCAATATTTAAAAAAAAAACATGTATGTAAGTTTTATAAAACGCTAATGGGACATGCGAAAATGTGTGTTTCACAAGTTTCAAAATTAAAAATAAAATATTCTGAAATAACTAAACAAACATTTTCTGAAAGAGTTTAGGCTTTCACTTGGTTTTTAAATCAATAAGATCCGATAATTTTTAACAAAGTTATTGGAATTCAAACTTACGGACAGCGAAAGGCGGGTGTTTTTTGAAAACGACCCAAGGACAGACAAAATAAAAAGCACGTTTATACACATTACAATTTATTGGTTTATTTTTTCATGTCCTTTACTTGCAACAGAAAAGCCGCTAGGAGTTTGGTTGCTTCCATGAAATTCTTTTTTGGTATATGTTCATTGGCCACTTTTTTATTACAACCATGGGGTATTAAGGGCATGCAAAGTACTGGTTTCTCAAACACTATCTTCAAAATTGTTATAATAACTCTACCTCTGTCTTCACGAATCATATCTGGGTCTTCCTTATAGATCTAACAAAGGGTGAATTTATATACTTTACATTTTGATGTAAAATTTTCATATTTGTCCACTCAAAATCTTGTTGAAAATGTTAAAAAAAGCGTATAAAGATTTCCCATTTAAAATACACGTAAACTTTGATTTTTTTTAAATATCTATATCTCAGCCGCCTTTTATGTTATTGGATTGTTCCAAAAAGGAATTTACTCGTAATCAAAAGTTCTACAAAAATGCTTTATGGGTCATAGCTGTAATCTGCACCTGTAGGATGGTACGGGTCACTAAATCTGATTTTGGTGAAAAATTCCCATATTTTTAAAGATATTTCAAAAGTGACTGGATTCATCGAAAAAATATAAAGGACAAACTTGTAAAAAATTTAATTTTCTTTAAAAAAGGTCTTATCAGTTGAATCGATAAGATTGATATTTGTTGAGATATAAAGCGTTTACATTGACATTTTATGAAATTTTTTAGTATTTTCGTACCAAACTTTTTATAAATGATATTTTCAATTTTTTATCAGTACAATTTCATGTAATTACATTTTTTTACAGTAGGGTGATTAGATAAAAATAAATAACTAAAACAATCAAGCATAATTATTAATAATAAAACTTTAAAGAGAAAAGTTTTTAACTTCTCGTTAAGAAAATAAAAATTTCCGACAATTCAAGAATTATTTATTGTCTCTTATTTGTGTTGAAATTTCTGTTTGCCTGTGAAGAATATTATAAACATATTAACGATCAAAATTGTAATAATATAGTACGCGGTATGAGTATTAATAGTAATAGAGAACAAAAAAGCGCTGCAATTAAGAGGAAAATTTTTGAGTTCGTTCAGGGTCGAGTTTAAGTGTTGTTGTGACAATAGGTATGACAGATATATATTTCATATTTTTGCAGTTTGTATAATACGTTATGAATTTAATTTTAAATTATGTGTATTATAGAAATATCTCACCTAAAAATTCATATAACAATGTGTATAATACACGTTGTTATAATAATAATTACATACAAAATTTTTTTAGTAGATCTTTATTTCTGACCCTTAAACCGTTTACAAGATAAACTGGCACTAGGACCTAATGCTAAATTAAATACAAATCACTCGATGAGACTATGACATTTTAACATAATTTTTTAAAATATTATAAAATATTTTTTTTTTATTTAAAACGTTCATATCTAACCACTTGTTATTTTATTAATAATTATGCTTGATTGTTTTAGTTCTTTATTTTTCTCTAATCACCCGACTGTAGAAAAAACGTAATTACATGAAATTGTACTGATAAACAATTGAAAATCATCATTTATAAAAAGTTTGGTACGAAAATCCTAAAAATTTCATAAATTGTCAATGTAAACGCTTTATATCTCAACAAATATCAATCTTAGCGATTCAACTGATAAGACCTTTTTTAAAGAAAATTAAATTTTCTACAAGTTTGTCCTTTACATTTTTTCAAAGATTTCAGTCCCTTTTGAAATATCTTCAAAAATATGAGAATTTTTCACTAAAATAAGATTTAGTGACCCGTACCATCCTACAGGTGCAGATTAAAGCTATAATAGCTACATAAAGCATTTTTGTAGAACTTTTGATTACGAGTAAATCCCTTTTTGAAGCAATCCAATAGCATAAAATGCCGCTGAGATATAGATATTTAAAAAAATAATCAAAGTTTACGTTTATTTTAAATGGGAAATCTTTATACGCTTTGGTAGAGTACTTTGAGTTATTATTAAGGGCTCAAATTTTCAGGGAATTTTTTTTGAACATTTTCAACTTAGAATATATTCTAAGTTTGTTTTGTGTTTTTTGTTAAAATACAATGGTGGTTTGTTATTACAGGTAAACATGTATATGATTGATTTAATCAGTACCTATCTATTAAAGTTTCCAAATAAATAAATAAACGGTCTTTCATTTAAAATGATCTCATTTATAATTAAATTATGCATGAAACTGTTAACAGTTGGTTAATTTTTTTAACGTTCTGACTTACTTGAATAGTTGCTCTTCTGGCTGCCTGGTACAAATTTTGATACATGCTCTCCTGCCAGTGTTTCACCGAAGCCACCAACGCAACTTCGACTTTATTTTTGATGTTCAACTTGTTGACGGTATTTTTAACGTGCGTATTAACGAGGTTAACGGAATGCTCTAAAATTTGTTTCGGTACAACTTTCACGGTGAATTCTTGCTTTATTATGGGCATTTCGTCGGGGCAAATGCATTTTTGCGACTCGTCTACGCTCATGGACGGTTGTCTCCAAAAGTCCATGAGAATTCGAACTTTGTCCCATTTCTGTTTGTTTGGAGGTAAAAGAGGTCTAAAAATGTATAACTATGGATATAAAATTTTGTTAAAGTAAAATACATAAGACGATTACATTATTTCTTCCGGGTCAAAATTTTTAATAGATTCATACACCCTCTCTTCGTCTGGGGTTACTTGATCGACAAAATCATTAAAATGCGGAATTGTTATTCTATTCTTTTCGTTAACCATTGTTTTAAATATATTTTGAGCGTCATCTTCAATTTCTGTTGTGGAATCCTCAGTTTTTTGGACGGTCAATGTAAAATACAAATACCCTTCGAAAGTAAAAAAAATATATACAAAAATAAAAAATACATAGAAAAAAATATTAAAATTTCTTATTTTGGATTTTTACCTATAAGATACCTAGGTTGTCTTTGAATTGTTTGAAATACCCAGAGAAGCAAGGTTTGGGAAATAAATTAGTCAACTTTTTCCCAACTCAGTTTGGTGTACGATATTTAAATTAAAATGTAATTTAATTTTAAATATCGTACACCAAACTTAGTGGCGGCTGGTGGATTTTGAATACCAATTATTAGATATGGGACCCACACCAAATTTATATGTGTTTATAATGACATTAAATAAACAAGTTCTGCGCAAGCAGAATTTAAATTGAAGTTTGCGAAAAAAATATAACTTTTTGCTCGGCCGTACCGGCCCTATGGCGACCCCAATAAATATAATATACCTAAATTTAATTGGTGCAATTTATTATTTACCAAAGTTTATCGACATATTTCAAATTTCATTTAAAAAATCCAAATTATGCAGATTTTATAGCATTTTAAATTTTTAATATTTCTTTTCTTCGTTTTATAAATTGTCCTCGTGCGACAAAATGACGTCTTATGACATTAGTTCTTTAATATACTATTTTATAATTTTTATTATTTTCAATATTTTTAAATATAATTTTTTTTATTTTTAAATTTTTTAATTGTTTTCCGTGTCTACATATATTAAATGTAAACCGTTTTCCTTTAGTTTTAATTACAAAAAGCGTTTTATTTACCCAATTTTAAAATCCTCTCAATATTTTTTTTAATATTCTTTCAAATATAATTATAATATATACCTATAAAGGTATTTGTAAATACTCTGGATTTGTTCAAATATTTACCAATATGGCATTGGTCAATTTTTTGAAAGCCTAATATTTGCCAAATAAACATTAAACAATTTTTTTACGTAAAATTAAACCAACAGTACCTACCTAACTTTTGCATATTATTGGGCACAATTTGATAATTTATTGTGGCCATCGCGATTGCACAAAAATCATAGGAATATTAAGTCCTATATAGTATAGCAAAACTTTTCCAAAGATAAAAGGGCAACTCTTGGCCAAGTTTTAACCTGATGTGGTTCTCTAGTTCAAGAAATGGCTAGAATTTTCTTTTTTTATGTATCTGTACATTATTATCTCGTTTATTAAAAAAGATACAAACAGTTTCAAAGTCACATAACGTTGCTTTAAAACAGCGTATCTTCGTTAATAAGATATACGAGGTGTGTTCAGAAAATAACGAAAATTGTTAAATTTCGCGGGTTCGGAGGGTCCGGTTGTCATAAAATTTTCTTTATTATGTTTTCATTGTTTACTTTGACTTTGGCAGCCGCTAAGGTTAGACGTGATTTATGAGCTCGGCGATTTTTCGTTCGTTTAAAGAAATGGATCAAAGAATTTCTATCCAATTTTGCTTAAAAAATGAAATAAATTCTGTGAAATGTTAACAAAGGCCTTTAGTGAGTCTGTTATAAGTAAAACAAGAGTTTACAAGATGGCCGTGAAGACGTTGAAGATGACGAACGCCCCGAACGCACAAGCACATTAAAAACCGATAAAAACATAGAAAAAGTGGAAGAAATGGTTATACCTAAACCATCAGAGAAGTCGCTGATGATGTTGGTATATCGATTGGCTCATCCCATGAAATTTTTTCGAATGTATTGGGTATGAAACGCGTGGCAGCAAAATTTGTTCTAAAATTGTTAAATTTTGAACAAAATTTTTGGCCAAACACAATACTGTAATGATGCCCCAGCCTCCATATTCGCCAGACTTGCCTCTGTCTGACTTTTTCCTAGTCCCAAAAATAAAGAGAACCTTAAAGGACCGTCGTTTTGCAAGCATAGATGACATTAAAACGCATCGCTGAAAGAACTAAAGGCTATCCCAAAGATCGAGTTTTAGAAGTTTTTCGAGTATTGGAAGAAGAGCTTGCACATGTGCATAATATCCAATGGGGACTATTTTGAAGGCGACAACATTAATGTAAACGAATAAGTAAGTATTTGTTTCAAAAAACTAAAAATCCCGATATTTTCTGAACACACCTCGTATAATAACGTGAATAAAAAACAAAATGTTCAGAAAAGATTAGCGGTTTGCGAGGAAATCATCATGTTGGCTTTAAAACAGTTAAAGAAATAAGCACAAAATGTTCAAAAAAGATTGGACTACAGTGTTATTGCTGCACAAACTTCAGGAAAAAAAATTCCTACTTTTGCACGCACGAAACTTGTACCAGCCAAGATGTTTACAAATCCTTTGCAAGGACAATGAAATTTTTTTTAAATAATTTAAATAAATTGACATACCTACGCCGCCGTATACTATACTTGGGTATTTTGGACCCAGCCATTCTGAAATATTCGTAACCACGTAGTCTATATCGTTGAAAAAGTCTTGTTTTTTGGCGACCAAAAATTTCATCATTCCTGGACTGTTGAGCGTGTATGCTGATTCTAAGATAAACCTACAATAGTTGGTAAAATTTCAGAGAACTGCCTGTCTGAGATATACAGGGTGTCCCATGGTTTACTAAAATTACTAGATCAATAGAGTTTTTGAAGGAATTCGTAGATAAAATGTTTTCCGGTGATCATGGGACACCCTGTATACATGAATGGGAAACCAAAACAGCGAGTAACTTTATATTAACGGGAATTTCGATGTTCTCAGTTTGAAACGACTCAAGGCAGTGCATCCAACACAAAAAATTTCCCTTTGAAGAAGCTGCTCCAGCTCCATAATACTTCGCGTCTTTTTCAACCATAGTGAATGGGTCCGTTTCCCAACCTTCAATATCCTTTTGATCCTTGACATCCAAGTACAAATAAACGCATAGCTAAAAGGGCATTTTACAATTTGTAATATTAAATGGGTGCAATACAATAAATAAAAAGCGCAAATGTAATGTTTTCTCTTAAAAGTATACTTGAAAGTTCTGTTGTAATATTTCTAAAGATCGATGTTCTTTGTAGACAGTAGACTTCTATATGGAAGCAATGATATCCAAAGTTTAATGTTTTCTTCAGATAATACCTATCTAGTTTTCAGGCGTTTCAGTTTTACAATTCATTATAATAACCATAGGTATACCTATTGATGAAGAACTTACTGTTTTCTTGTTACCTCCAGGTTTAACCAATCTTCCTAAAGTAATAGGAGGTAACGTGATAGTCTTTCCATTAATTTCCGTTGACCCAACATCAAAACTTTCATTCCTTATCCCCAATTTACTGAACCAAGACTCCACGTAAGCTTTCATTCCGTAAATTTCCTTGCTATATTTTGGATCTGTCGGTATGGTTTTGAAGCTTATAGCTTTGGCCAAATTGTGCCTGAATTTGTTCTCGTGTCCATCGATTTCCTTAAGGAGTTTCAGGAGGGTGGGTTGAATAGGAATTTTAAATCTCACATGTTCAGCGTACCAACTGCCGTATGTAAAATTTGTTGTAATGGTTTCAGTGTGTTCGTTTCTGTATGTGTGAGGAAATACCATTATTGTAAAATAAAACTTTTTAATGTGGAAATAACAGAAGGTAAATGTGTCAAAATTTACGATGACACTTAAATAAGGTTGAGAGTCCCTGTATATTTCTTTTTAGATGTTTTTCTACTCCCACCTTTAAAACGCCCTTTATCGTACATGTTTCCATGACACTAAGTGATCTTTTAAATACACATTGACAAGTTGTGGCTTTACGGCGCTTTAGTCACGGGCTGAAGTTAGCAACAGGTTTTTAGTCACGGGCTGAAGTTAGTTTTAAGTTAGTTGACAGTTGTCAAATGCCATACAATCGTTAAAATAAAGTGCCCTTCTTATAAAATAAAACTAAATGTGAAAATTATTTTATTATCTCAATACAAAAATACAAAAATATTAAATAGTTTCTTAACGCCAATATTTGAAAAGTTTATATGAACATTGTACTGACCTTTTAATTTCGCCCGCAGTAAACTATAACTTATATTCGGGCACGGACTCCACTGTAAAGTCCTCATAAAACATTTCCTTTACTTTCACTGTGAAAAACTGTCAATTTTCAAGATACATTTCGATTTATAACCTTTATAATTGTGTTTATAAAATGTAAAAATGTGAATCTGAATGTGACATTTGACAGTTTCCCCTGTTGTTTCATAGATGGCGCTCTATACAAATTTTTGATTTAAATCCTTTTAAGATAATAATAAGTATTTGTCGTAGAAAAAGTATAGTATGCACCTCGTTTATAAACTTTTCTATACACTCATTAACTTAAGCACTCGCTCGCAAGCTCGCTCGTGCCTAAATTAAATTCGTGTATAAATTGGCGTTTATCAAACTTGATACATAATATACTATTTCTTTGAAATCATGTTCTGTGATCATTTTTATAGTACCTATTAACCTTTATAATCTGTGTATACTATAATAACTAGGGATGGGATATTTAGGTACTAAAAACTGAAAAATAGGTAACTAAAAAGGTACTAAAAAACGCATTTTAGGTTAAAAAAACAGCATTTTAGGTAAAAAAAAACATTAAAAGTTCAAGTTTCTTTTATAATTTTGTTTAACCGCATCCCCAAACACAGAACATACCCACAATCACAATCCACAATAAACTATTTCTATGCAATAAACTGTGTTTTACTGAGTGACACTCACTACACAGAAATTCTATGACAGAACATAAGCTCAATACAAAGAAATACTATAAAGAAAGTTACTGTTACAGTCTGTGACCCATAAAAATAATTTAGAATAATAGAATAATTTCTATGCTGTGACCATAAGAAAAAATTCTATACCGTTGAGTTGCACGCCCTGGATAAAATATTGGCGGAAAATTTAAAAAGAACACAAAAAAATAAAATAAGTAAAAATACGAAAAAATAGATAACAAATATATAAAATAAACTGACAAATTAAAAAATATGTAACAAAAGTATAAAAAGCAAAAACCTCCAAAAAAAGTAAAAAAAGGTGAAAACTAGTTAAAAAAAATAGGTAAGAAAAGTATAAAAAAGGTAGTTTAAAGCAAAAACCTCCAAAAAAGGTAAAAAAGGTGAAAACAAGTTAGGTTCATATAAAAGAAAATCTTTTAAAACACATTTTGGCATCATTGGTTTTCAAATAGTTACATCGGTTGAAAAAAGGTAAAATAACTAAAATCCCATCCCTAATAATAACCTATAATAGGTTTCATGGTTTTTCTATGGTCATTTCTATCAAAAGTTGTAATTTTTAACAAATTTATATTTAGCATTCTAAAGAGCTAAGCTAATATGTGGCTTAAATCAATTTTTAAAACAGTAATATTTGGCCTAAGTTGACAATAAGAAGGTTTGGACAAAAAATTAATGTTAAATAATGCTTCCAACACAATTATAAACACTTTTATTATTAAAGACGTCCGTTAAATTAATGTATAAAATTGACACACCAATCCTAATTAATCTTATTTAATACTTAAAATATAATAAAACACAATAAAAAGTCTATCTTCTTTTGAACCCATACTTCTTTCTTTCGTAAAACAAGTCAGTCTTCGAACTGCCCAGATTAACAATCTTTGGACACCCATCTCTGTCTTTTTCCTGGATCGTACACTCTTTGCAGTAGTAAGCATCGGAAACCCCTGGACCTCCGCATACAACGCATCTTCCTTGGTACGATCCGTAATTACACTCATCACAAATACGCACTAATGTGCAGGGGCGCACGTACGAGTCGCAAATTACACATTTTCCATCGCATTTTTCGCACAATCTACCTATAGCTACGCCGGGCTGTTTTCGGCAGAAAATCAAGTCCGGGTGATGTTTCGCCATCTAGAAAGCCTAAAAATATGTAAATTGATTGATAATAGAACGTTTATTTGTTGAAAATACCCACAAAAACGAAGAAATTACGGTGAATTGTTTGGTTATGACAAGTTAGGTTATGTTGCTTGTGTCTAAAGTGCTTGTCAAAATTTTTAAAATTTGTATTCCTATATAGCATGCAATATATATTTAAATTTAGTATGATTTTTCAATTATATATATCATAAATTATAATTTTAAACATACTAAATATATGTTTTAAAGCTTTAAACATTATTTATCGCGTTGTAGCTTGAGACACTTTATTGTGTCTAAGGTTGCAGTCATAAATAAACAAACCATAGACATAGAAATATTAACCATCGACGTATAAAACTAAGAATTCCTCATTGAATTCAAATGGAAAAATAAACTAACGTAGTCGTAAAAAACAAAAAAATTAACTGTTACAAATTCTTCGAAATAATAGTAATTTATTTCATAAGCCACAGAACACTATAATCTTCGTGAGAGAGACCTAAGTTGTTACTTTAGACACCATTTTTTTTAATTGTAGAGGGCGCCACAAACGTCAACGGTCAACATTTAAAAACATCTTAAAAAACGACATTTTTTCAGTGTTAAAAAAGCGTTACAAAAAGAACAAAAGCATATTGAAATTAAGTTATTCATATAGATTAGATTCGGCTATATTTAACATGATGTTCTCTTCGCCGAATGTACGGGTTTTCTCCCATGAAAGTAAGTTTTAAAATTGCCTTAAAAATATCAGTTTTTTACTGTTGTGTGTTATTGCAGATTCTGAAAACGCGATTTCCCGTAAACCGGGGCAGAATGCGATATTGAGAAAACCGTTTACGTCCATTGGAGTTAATAGTACACCAGCGAAATCTCCGCTACACAAGCAGAATGTAGCAGGTAAAAAAATGAATGACAAAGTGGCATGTTCCTCATATCATGACAAAGTGGCGACTACAAAAACTGAAGAGGTGTTTGTAGATGATTATATGTTTTCATATAGAAGTGAAAAAGGTGAATATTTATTTCATTCAGTTTTTAGACATTTTATTCTCAATCCACACTATTTTCGTGCTCTTGGTCCCTTAATATGTGAAAGGGTGCAGCTGCCCTGTTAAGCAAAAATACCTTATCTACAATATTGAGTGATAAAGGACAAAAGATCATTTTTAGTGTTATAAAGTTATATTAAATATAAACAATAAAAATTATCTTTTGTTCTTTATTACCTAATATCATAAATAGGACATTTTTGTTTATCCTTTTATTCTATGGTCCTTATTTGTTTGCATCATGCTTTAGATAGTTTAGAACATTACAAATAGTTTTAGGACATTTATAGGGTAATGACACCAGTAATTGCCATTATAAGCTAGTGTTTACACAAAAAAGCTAAAAAAGTCCAGAAGAAATTTAGATTTCGTCCTAATAAAAAGCCATGGTGGTTAATAGATACTTATAGAAGGTCACTATATTACCAAACATTAAAAATTAAAGACATAACTAAGTACAATATATTTTTTTTTATTGAGGTATAGAGGACTAGTAATTGCCATGACCATTTTTAAAAAAACCAGTAGTTGCCAGTGTACCTGGCCAGTAATTGCCACTAATTTATTTTATTAAATAAAACAAAAAAAATGGAAAATGGCATACCACCTTGGCAAGCAGCCAATGCAGATTCTTTACTTTCTTGGGAATAGCGAAAAAAGGGCTTGTTTTTTGGTTCCATGCACAAACAAAACTCAAATTGATTAACAGCATATGCCAATATCACGAAAAACTAATCTTACTCTTTCTTAACCAAAGTCACAAGAAATCTTTTATAAACAGCTGATTCAACAAGTTGCCTGAATATGTTTTTCCTGTCGAAAAATGCGCCACCTGGTGACAGTTGTTCTAAATACATAATACGCTAGATACACTTCCTTACACATAGGCAGTGCGCCATATGCACAGATATTGCATATAGCTTTGTTTTTAAATTTCTAAATAATAATAATAATATATGGCAACTACTGGTACAGTCCGTTCAGGCTAAGTTGAGCGCTTTGGTGGGGGATCATGTGGCCGTTAATTAAATTAAACATCGAATCGTCGCGAGATTTCGGTAACAAGAATATGATTTATCAGTGGCGCGGCTTGCCGTTTGTTCGTACAGAGCGGCTACCGAAATACATGTATTTAATTGTGCCTGAACATAGAGATGATGGACGGGGTGACATTCCTTAGACCGCTCAACTTAGCCTGAACGGACAGTACAGTGGCAATTACTGGTGCCTTTACCCTAAGGCATTTTTGACAGTATATTAAAGATTTAGGAGACTGAACAGTTAATTCAACAGTTCTGGAAAAATTTTAGTTCTATAAATATTTTATGCATATATTATAGATATGTAATACTAATACTAATTTGCTTTTATGATGGTTTTAGACGATTTTAATGACATATGGGCAGGTTACAGTGATGAGATTTTTCCACAAATGGTTTGCAATGATATTAGAAACTTTTGTGGTGCCACACCAAAAACTCCAGAACCACAAAATGAATTTGATATAGATTCAATATTTTTTACAGTCTCCGAGCCAGTTTTATTCATTCCTGAACAAATGAATGCTTCTTTTGATAAATTACCAGAATTTGAAGATTCAATTGAATCTGTAGGTACTCCTCATATTGATTTTGATGAATTTAATGACTCAGTTTAATTAGTTAAACTATTATATTTATGTTTTGTATATTTTTAAGTTTTTTTATATTTATGTACTACATTAAATCTGTAACTAAAATATTAAATGTGTAACTATAGTTACACATTATTAGTTATAACTAAATAACTCTTTGTTAGATTATAAATAAATTAGGTATTTAAATAAAAAGTATTTTAACTTAAGTCACAATTTATTTGAATTTATAAAATACATATTACATTTATGTACCAAACAAAATAAAAATATAACAGGTACAATAGGTCAAAAATTAAATAATAAAAACAATTTTAATATGTATAATACAGTGTTTTTTACATAGGGAGGTTTTCTTTTAACAAGTATTAAATTTACATATTGATTTACCATTTTTGTAAAAAACACCTTCAGTCAAATATTCTTTCAAATAAAAATTTTAATTTTTTTATATCTGTCAAATTTAGACCAAATAATCTTTGCTTGCAATTGTTAAAAAATTTACCAAAAAGAGTATAAAAAACAGCATTGAAATCTTAAGAAATTAACCAGACAGGTAAAAAACCCTTTAAAATAAATTCATTTAATTAATTAGTTTAAATATTTTTAATTTAAAAGAAAAACTCCAACCCATAAAACAATGAAGAAACACATTTGGTGTAATATACAGTGTATTATTAATTTACTGCACACCCAAGACTAGAACTAATGGTTTCATAGATAATAATAAATCACTTTAATTAATTACAATAGCCAACATAATTAGTGACTAATATACAGCCAAACTACATTAACCAAAAAATTTAAAATTAACTGTTTTCTGCCTAATAAAAACTGCCAAAATTTGGTACAAATTAATACAATATTGCTTTCTTAAAATTCTAATTGAGGCGTCTATACTATTAACAAACTACTCACAAATATTGTTGTTTGCGTAAAAATATTATTTTCCTAAAATTTATGGATCCTACTATTTTAATTTATAAGTTGCCCAGTATGAAGTCAGAAATATTTTTTATAATTTGTAAGAAGCCATTCTACTATTAAATATCTAAAAATAAGGGAATAATTTATCTTAAAAATAGTATACAGATGTGGCATCAGCCAAAAATATCTTTTTTAATAAAAATAAAAAATCAGTCAAAAAAATTGAATTTTGTAAGTCACAATGGTAAAACAATTGAATATGGTGTAAAGAGTTTGTGATTATGTTTTAATTGTGCATTTTTTTCATTATATTTTATTTTATTTATTGTATTTTTTTTGTTGTAAATATGTCAGATTTCCTGAGTTAAAGCCTAAGAAAACGGTTTACACCATACATTTATTTGAAAAAATGTTCAGATTCTTAGTCTCCATTAATTTTTAGACCAATTCCAAATACATTCATAATGGTTTACTTAGTGCATAAATAAAAGTATGCATCTATTTTTCCTAAAAACTAAAATAATTTGCATATTAAATTCAGTTTGTTTTTTATTTGGACTTTGACGTGAAAAACTACTAGTGCTATAATTGACTACATTCCCACACGGAGTTAATCTCTAAAATACATATTTAAGATCTTTTATTTACTCCACCAGTGGAGTGTGTGGCAACAGTGGCTTTTGGTCATTTTAGTCACGGGCTGAAGTTAGCTTTAATATTAATTGGGAAAAAGTGAGGTTAAATCCGTTGACAGTTGACGGATGTCAAATGTTTAACAAATAAAATTGGATTTAAAATCTTATTTATGTTCATCGTAGATAAAGTATAGTATGCAACTCGTTTTATAAACTTCTTTAGACACTCGTTTTTATTAAAAACTCGCTCGCAAGCTTCGCTCGTTCTTAATTAAACTCGTAAATAAAATGGCATTTACAAAACTTGATACATAATATACTATTTTGAATTATCTATTAAAACAAAAAAGTTGTCCCATAGATTTTTTTAGACCAGATCTCTGAAATTAGAATGGGATGGCCAATATTAAACATAATTGCTGAAAAAAATCTTAAATTTAATTAATTAACAAATAAATAGAGTAGCGATACCTCTCACTGTTGTTTATGCACGCTCGTTAACTATAAATACCAGAAGGCTGTAAACAATGGGTAAAATACAAAAGAGGATAAGTCAAAATAATGCCTTTTACCCACATAAATATTCGGATGAAGATGTGATAAAAATACCCATAAACTGCCATGCTAAGTCAAAAGGTCTTATCTACAATATATATCATTCTGATGCCTTCTGGATGCAATTGTATTTGGGTTTCTGAGATATCTTATTTCTGATATTCTATAGAGGGCTAAAAGCGGCCTTATAGTCTATTCATTTTAACAATTCACCAGAATAAATATTGGTTAATCAGCTACAAGACTTATGCTTCACAGTGTGCCAATTGGCCAATAGCGTACCGAAAATTTTCTACTACCACCACCTCGACCACCACCATGTAAAAGTCACATTTCGTAATGGCATATTTGCTTAGAAAGTAAATCTTTTCATTGGCAAGGCAAAACACGAATGTAAAGTGACATTTTTGTGTGAAAAGTGACAGGTCTGTGTGAAAAGAAATTGACAGCATACATAGTTTGACATTCGTTTTAAAATTTGTATTGTATTTGTGTAAATATCATTTAAATACAAACACAATTAATTGTGTTCTAATTAGGACACAATTAATTGTGCTTGTAGAAGAAACATATCCAAAGTAATGAAATTGACTTTGGAAAATTGTTTTGAAATTTACAAAAATTGTATTATGCAGCTCGGATTTTTTTCTCGACGGATTTAGATTCTTTTAAGTGTTGTTGTGAAGTGACATTTTTTTCACATTTATTAATTAAGGTTCAGAACAAGAAAAAAATCAATTGTTTATAAAAAATTTGATAAATTATTATAAAAAATACATTTATCCGAAAAGTAGTCAACAATCGGCAGTAAAGTAAAAGATTTAATACGAGTATTGTATGCAACCAATTATACATTTTAAGATGTGCCTATTGCTAAAAAAGCACCGTCGCGGAGGTCGATTGGACCCTTTCATAAAATGTTGTTTAATAAAAATAATAAGTTAATTTTATTAATTAGATTAAATGACATTTGATTTAATCATCAATATTAATTATTAGTATTATTAAATGTCATTTCGAATAAAATTTAATATGCACCTCGGCATTAAAGTAATTTTTTATCACTCATGTGGTTATTTGCCTCGCCTCGGCAAATAATTTTCACATTCGTGATAAAAAATACGACTTTACTGCCTTGATACATAAATAACTATTTTATGGTAATTGTAGAATAATTTTTCATAGTCAATTTTTACCTTAAATGTCAGTTTTATTAAAATCTTTTATCTGTCCAAGAATAACTAGATTTTGTTAGGTACCAAAAATTTCATTTGACAATAACTTCGCTAAAATATAAAATTATGCTAATTTCACGATTTCTGATCCATTGTTAATGTCAAAATATTTAAAAAATTTATAAAATAGGAATGCAATCAAACGACATAATCAAATAAGTCCAAATAAAAAAAACGAACTTTATAAAAAGTGACCAGTAAAATAATGTTTTTTTTAATACTAAGCAACAAGAAATAAGCACTTTGTAAACATACTAAAACCAAAATAATGAGATCTCTTTAATAATAAACTTTTGACTAGCTTTCACAACGAACCGATGAATGAGAAAACGAAAACTCTACGACTTGTTAACATTCTCTAGGACCATGGAACACAATTGAAGGCAAAACTTGGTGGAAAACTCTTTGAGAAAACAGGCGGAATTTCTCGAGTCGTTCTCTTTGATTATCTCGTCGTCCGAGCCGTTCGCGAAATTTTTGCAAAACAGCAGAATCGAGAGGGGGTAAAAGTACTTGTCCATGTTTTTGAGGAGGACGTTCTCCAAGGCTGCCACAGGTAAATTGTTCGTGAGCCAGAACTCGATGCATTTCAGCAGGATGTTTTGCATTAGAATGTGGTTTTCCGAGACGTAGATCTTGGTTATGTAGAACTCTACTATGGCGGACGCGGTTTCTATGACGTTGCTGTAGGGGGTTTCGTCCTTTTGCGGGGGGATTTTCGCGTTCTTCCCCTCGGAGATTAGCTTGGAAACGCTCGATATGGGCGGCGAATTTTCGGTGCTCGCCACCGACTGAACGTATTGCGTCATGTTTTGCCGTATGTCCCCGATTTCCGACATTTCACAGGGACTCTCCCTGCCGCCTTGGTGCTCGATATCGTCCCCCCACTGTCTGATGCTGTCCAGCGACGAACTGGAACTCAGTATTTTGCCGGGAGTGTGGCAGTGCAGTATTTTATCACTGGAATTGGAATGTAGCAGCAGATTCTTCTCGTTTAAGTCGTCTTGCAGATTTTTAACGATCAAGTCGATTTGGCTTTGTTCCGAAGTATCGAAAGAGCTTTTTTTCGAACAAACGTTCAGCGATTTCATGTGCTCCTTGAAAGCCATCAGTTGGAACCCCAAACTATCGCCGTAATGACCGTCGAGTAAAGCTATTTTACTCGCCGCTTGATAATTCCCGATGTTGAAACACGTGGTTAATATGGTCTCGCTATCGTACAAACCGAAATACGTTTGGAGGGCGTAATGAAGCGTTTTTTGCCCCATTTTGTATCCCGGGCATTCCCTCAACAAGTCCATAAAGCAATTCTTACCGTGGCCAACTTTATCGCTCTTATTATTATCATCATCCAGGTTCTCCACTTTGCGCATTGCGTAGGGCGTAAATTTTTTCGATAGGAGGAGCTTGTGGTCGGTTAGGTTGAACGTTATGGCCATGGATGGGAGTCCCGGGACTTCTATGGGATAGTTGTCGTTATTCCCGGATAGGGTGTTCGGGAATTTTATGATACGACGGGTGTTTTTGAAGACTGCCACTTTTCCTTCCATGTTCGCTAGTTTTCTGTTGTCGTCCATCGGTTTTCCAAGGATTGCCTGGGAATGGATAAAAAATTACACCTATTTTAATTTCATTAAAATGGGTTATATTTTATATATTCATTAAATTACTTCCTACAAACAGTTTAAGGAGGTTCGGGCACGATTTTAGTCACTATGAGAAAATGTTGAAAAAATTCTAGGTTGTAGTAGAGTCTACATTTCTGTGGGTAAAAGGCATAAGGGGATAAGTCAAAAAAGCAATTTTTCAGTAGAGCCTTAATCGTATTCGCATTAATTCAGGAAACATATTTATGGTTAGCGGGTATACCCTTTTGTTAGCACATGCCATATGCTAACAAAAGCGTATACCCGCTAAACATAAATATATTTCCTGAATTAATGCGAACACGTTAAAGTCTCTATTGAAAAATTGCTTTTTTTGACTTATCCCCTTATACCTTTTACCCACAGATTTACAAAGTTTTAGAAATATTGGCAGACTAGTTTCCTAGTAAAAAATTATAAGGTTGCTAAGGCTATACGGGATGTTATCGTTTATTATTGATAAACTGTGTTGTAAATGTTAACAAAAATTTATATGCCACTTATAATTGCATACAAAAAAATCATAAATTTCTTATTGTCATGTTATAAGATAATATAAGATATGCATTAATAAAAAACAGGCTGTATTTAATTAGCGCATATTATGCGCTAATTAGATACAGCCTGTTTTTTATTAATGCATATCTTATAACGGACATTGAAAAATTAATGATTTTTTTCTTTTATATGTACTTATGCTTATAGAAATTTTTGTTAACGTTCATTCAATTACCGAGAAAAAATGGTAATTGATTTTTAAATTACTGAAATAAGGTAATTGTAATTGATAATTGATTTTAACAATTCTTAGGTAATTCAATTATTTTCAGAGTAATTAAATTACTTACAAGTAATTGAATTTCTTTTAGTAATTGAATTACTTGAAAGTAATTGAAATTATTTATTTTTGATTCAATTACCCAATAATTTTGCTTGTTCAATACAATTTTGTAATATTATAAAGAAAAAAACGTTGAAATGAATAATTCTTAGAAGGTCTAAAATCTAGAAGAGTTTTTTTGCAAGGGCTTTAAAAATATTTTACGAGTGGGTATGGTACATTTATGGGTTTATTGGGTTTAGACTGTAAGTCGTATAAAAGCGAAAACAAATGTTATCCTTTTCACATGTTGGTTCACAACGAATTAATATGACATTCATAGTATGAACTGTGCATGTACTTTCTTTTCTTAAAAAGGTTTATACATTTTTTTTTAACCTTCCTGCGGGCGCATTTTCTATGTGCACGAGTTTGGGCGCAATTACTAAAAAGTAATTTTATTACTAAAAAGTTATTCAATTACTTAAAAGTAATTAAATTATTTAAAAGTAATTCAATTACTATAAAAGTAATTGAATTAAAATAAGTAATTTAATTATAGTAATTGCCTATATAACACTGTGCAAAATTATAATATATCCCATTATAATTTGTCCATGTATTTTGACCCAATAAACACGAAAATCACAAAAAAAAATTATGGAAGGGTTTTTGAAATATGAATTTTTAATTGTTTTTTTTTATTTTCGGAGGTGTTTTGACGATTTTGAGTATAGCTTGAAATCTAATTGATCGATTTGGTCAAACAAGCCCTTAAATTGAAGGTATTTGAGCCCTCTAAAACTTTCTTTTACATACTTTTGATATCGGATAAGTATTTGGACGCTAGCGATTTTAATAACTTAAAAAATTCGTTTTTATGGCAAAAATTGAAGTCGAAAATTTACATATCGTCCTGGGAAAGGTTTAAATCAAACAGATAACTCCACTTTGGATTTTGTTTCGTGAAGCTGACATTTTTACAAAAACAACAAGGTAATGTTGATAAAAATACATGAAAAAATGGCGAAGTTATGAATTTTTTAGTGGAAGACCAAAATTCAGCTTTTTGATGATTTTTATTTTATTTTTTTTCTTTTATTTCGTAATATGTTTATTTTTTAATGAAAACCTAATTAAAGTGCATGATTGGAATTTTTTAAGTTTTTTACGTACTTTATTCACCGAAAACATTATATAAAATTTAAATTTGACATGACTCTGCAAACGTGAATTCTTTTGTTTCTTGTGTTGGTAGGGATATTTGGTTTGATTTATTTGGTGACTACCATAATTTGGTTTTTAAAGTAAATTATTAAAAAATCACAAATGTACAAAGTTATTTATTAAAAGATATATTTTTTAATAATAATAAGGATTGTCTAATTATTAGACAATCCTTCTACTTTATATGGTTTTAAGACTTTTGCTGCATTCAACATAATGCATATTTTCTGTTGATTTTTTTTGTTCCCATTAGAGGTGCGACTTGAAAAAAAACGGTCCATTTTTTTTGGTTTTTTTTCAGGTTTTTTTTCATTGTTTTTTTCAAATGGTTTTTTTTCACATTTTAGTTTTTTTCAAGATTAGTACCATTTGCCTAATTTTTTAGGTTTCATGGACTAAAATTAGCCACTAAATGACAATTAGTAAATGTAAATACAGTCTCGCGCTATGCACGCGCCACCACCACCGAATTGACCAATAAGGGCCGCGCTTGTTTTGACTTGGTCCTTAAAAAAGTAACTACCTATAATATTTTTGATTCAGCGCTTGATTTTTCAAAAAGCTACCAAAAGCACTTTTTTCATGATTTTTCAAATTCATGTAGAGTATGGAATTTTTTTTCAAAAAAACAATAGCAAATTCTTGTAGAACATTTATTCATTGGTGGTCAGAACATTCCGTGGACCAGAAAGAAAAATCGATTTTTTTGTTACGGTATTTGTTAGGATTGAGCGTTGCACATTTTTCATCTAAAAATCTCAAAACTAGAAACTTCAAGCTTCAAATTGCTTTTTTTACGGCTCCAGTACTACCATTTTTAACAAAGATACAGCTATCCGAAGAATCGCAAAACAATTTTTTTATCCTTTAATTTTTTGTATTGGTGTAGAAGTTTTACATTGCTACTGGTTTCTAATGTGGAAACTACCAAATAATAAGAAATTAGATTTTTTAGTCTCGGTCAAAATTTTCAATAATGAAAAATTTAATATATTCTACATTTCACTTTATTATTAATACCTATATATTTTACTCAAAATTTCATTTAAAAAAAAAACAAAAAAAAACCTTGTTTTTTTCTAGGTTTTTTTCATGTATTTTTTCACATCTGAAAAAAAAACCGTTTTTTACATCTCTAGTTCCCAGGCCTTTTTAATAATTGTTTCTTTGTAGTTAACTTAATTCGTGTTTACAACTCATTTTTGACTTTAAATAACACTGCATATAGAACTGTCACTGCCACTGTCAAAAGCGTTACTATAAAAACCGACTATCAACAAAATTTTGTTTTTAAAAGTTGGTACCTATTGCTATTAATGCATTAAGTATAAAAGCAACTCCCCTTACCCCTTTCCCCTCAATGCACTGTACGAACCTCCTTAAACGTAATACAAGATTAAACATTTCAAATACAAAAAACAGAAAAAACTAATTGTTCATAAGTCCTAACAAAGTAAATCTTAATAATTCGTTTTTATTGATTTTCCTGGTTTAAAGCCTATATAAGAAAATTGTTGTTATTTTATAACATTTTTTACCTGAGCCATTGATGTATTTCCCCAAGCCAATAGCTTGCCAGTATGATCTATAGCCATGGTGTACTCCAAACCACACGAAACATGCAAAAACCTTTGCGTGAACAAGTTAATCGAATCCTGGTCCCTCAATTTCGGTGGACTTAACTCGTCATCTTTATTTTTGCCCCACAAGATTTTGCCGTTGTGCAAAATAGCCGAATGACGATATCCGACGGAAACCTGGAATTGAAATGTCATTCGGAGACCGATAAACATAAAATGTATTCGTCACCTGCTCAATCGGTCGTTTATTTATTCCGGAATAGACGTGCACGCTCGCTTTCCACGAGTCCGGCGGTTTCAGAGGTAAGCTGCCGTTGGTTTGAGGTTGCGTTTTTTGGTTGTTTTTCGACTGAAAGAGGCGCACTTCTTGCGGACTTGCGCCCCATGTGTACACCTCTTGATCGGCTCTAATGGCAATCTAAACAAAATGTTTGTCAGCGCCACAATATAAACAACTAAAAACTAGTTGACAGACAGTCAAATTAGTAAGTAGAAATATGGAATTAAAAAAAATTTATCCAAGTTTTTTTGTCATTCCCATAGTTTTTCTAGAAGTTTGACATTCTTAAATGTATTCATTGTTTTTAAAGGACCTCTAAAAACAATAATATAACATTCTAAAATGTATTATATGTATTTTACATTATTAATGGCTTTTATTCTGAAATATTTTCTTAAGTTTTGAAAATTCTAAAATAAACCTTTAAGACGTGTTTTGTTTTTTATGTACATTCTTCTACATTTGACGTTTTAACATTCTACAATGTTTTTGACATTCATAAATATTACTTCTATATTAAAATATGTTTTGTCATTCTCATAGTTTTTCTAAAAGTTTGACATTCTTAAATATGGTTTTTATTCTTAAATATTTTTTGACATTCTTAAAGTTTTAAACATTCTATTGTAAATCTTGGTCATTTTATAAGTACTTCTAGACTTTTTAAGAGATTTTTGTTTTTTTATCTACATTCTTCTATTTTTAACGTTCTTAGATATTAAAAATTTGACATTTTTTTAATTTCTTAAATGACTTTAAAGCTTAATTTTCATGTATCCGTTTGTCCGTCATCCGTATGTCAGTTTTTCAATAAAATCGTCCGATAAGAAATGTTCTAATTTTCATGCATACGTTTTTTAATGACGTTTAACGGATTGATTTTGCGACAAATAGAAATTAAGTGTCAGTATATTCACTTACTAAATTTACCTAATGCTTAATTGTCATAGTTACAATTATGTCAACAATTGTAACTTTAACAGTTAGCTGTCTAATAAATTTAAAGGTAGGTAAATATACCTTATAAAAAGAATATACTAGCCCTAATATACATTAAAATATATAGTTTTAAAAAAGCAGGTAGTTCTACTTTTAATTTTTTTTTGTTTGTCCTTTCTTTTTTTCCGTTATTCTTATTAAATAAAAACTTAACAGTAGAACATTATTCACATAACGAACGTAATATTTTCGTTTTACAATCTTATTGAAAAAATATAAAAATATTTGAAAATAAATTATCTTAAAATAACGTTAGGCGTCAAAAACATATGTGTAGTGACGGATGAGTTAAAATTATTTAACCTTTCTCTGTCAGACGTACGAAGTTGAAACTTGACGGACCGATAAAATGTCATAATTTTCGAATTATAATTGGACCAATAAGAGCGCTCCCGGATGAACGGACTGACGGACAAACGGATACATGAAAATTAAGCTTTATTCTTAAATACTTCGTCATTTGTCGAAATTACTTCTATTCTGAAATTTTTGTTATTTGTCATTCTCTTAGTTTAAACATTTTAAAAGTTTGACATTCTTAAATATGTTTATTGTTTTTAGAAGATCTTAAAAACAATGATAGATTTTTAACATTTTAAAATGTGTTATATGTTTTTATCATTCTTCATATGGCTTCTATTCTTAAATAATTTTTTGCCATTCTTATAATTTTTAACATTCTAAAATAAACCTTTAAGGGCCAGTATATTCAGCTTTGACTAAATTTACCCAATGCTTAATTGTTAACGCATAATAAGTAAAAAAATTCTAACTCTAAGACGCCTTTTCCAATCTTTCTGAAATTTTGTATAAATATATTTCAACCTATATCTCAGTTTACGTGTTCGAGGGTTTTTCGAGAAAATTTTTTTAAGCCCTTTTATTTAATAATAAAAAAACGTTCGAAAAATAACTTTTAGGGAATTTTTTTAAGTAAAGAAAAAATATGCTGTTAAAGACTGTATTTTTCTTAGTAAAAATTTTGTACAAATCAAACGAACAGTAACGAAGATACATCGCTTCAAAGTCGGTAAAAGTGACCCCTTTTTGAAAATTGGTCATTTTTGACGACTTTGAAGCGCTGTATTTTTGTTACTGTTTGTTTGATTTGTACAAAATTTTCAGGATATACTAACAAAAATACGGTCCTTCACAGCATATTTTTTATATATTTATATATAATTTCCCTATAAAAGTTTTTTTTCGAGCGTTTTTTATTATTAAATAAGGATATTTTCTCGAAAAACCCTTGAACACGTAAACTGAGATATAAGTTAAAGTATTTTTATCCAAAATTTTATAAAGATTGGTAAAGGCGTTTTAGAGTGTGTTTTTAACATTCTTAAATATGGCTTCTATTCCTAAATATTTTTTGACATTCTTAAAGTTTTGAATATTCTAAAAAAATTATATAATTACTTTAAACATTTTAAGACGTTTTTTTGTTTTTATCTTTATTGTATTATTTCACATTCTACTATTTTTGACTTTTACTATTAAATATTTTAAATATTCTTAAATACTTTGTCATTGGTCGAAATTACTTTTATTGTGAAATATGTTGTTATTAAATAACAACATTAAATGACAAATTTTGTCAATCTCTTAGTTTAAACATTCTTAAATTTGTTCATTGTTTTAAAGGACCTCTAAAAACAATGATTTGTTTTAACATTCTACCATTGATTAAACGATTCTGCAATGTTTTTTAACATTCTTAAATATTATTTCTATTTTAAAATATTTCTTGTCATTCTCATAGATTTTATAAGTTTGAATATCTTAAATATTTTTGACATTCTTAAAGTTTTGAATATTTTAAAGTAAACCTTGGTCATTTTATAAGTACTTCTTGACTTTTTAAGATTTTTCTTGTTCTTTATTTACATTATTCTATTTTTGACGTTCTTAGATATTAAAATTAAAATATTTTGTTATTTGTAATTTTCTTAGTTTAAATAAGTTTGGCATACTTAAATATGTTCATTGTTTTTTGAAGACCCCTTAAAACAATGATAGGTTTTTAACATTCTAAAATGTGCTACATCTTTTTAACATTCTTAAAAATGGCTTCTATTCTTAATTAATTTTTTGTCATTCTTATTGTGAACATTCTAAAATAAAACTTTAAAACGTGTTTTGTTTTTTATCTACTTTGACATTCTTAAACTTCTATTTTAAAATATTTTTTGTTATTCTGTTTTACTAAAAGTTAGACATTCTTAAATGTGTTTGTAACATTCTAAAATAGGTTTTTTAATTAATTTTTAATTATGGCTTATATTCTTAAATATTTTTTGACATTCTTAAAGTTTTGAACAATCTAAAGTAAACCTATGTACTTCTAGACATTTTACGATGTTTTTTTGTTTTTATCTTCATTTTACTATTTTTGACTTTTATTCTAAAATATTTTATTATTTCTTTCTTATAGAACATTCTAAAAGTTTGACATTAAATAAGTTTATTTATTTTTAATTAATAATTATTTTTGTTTGTTACACTTTATACGTTTAAATCGTCACATCTTTTTTGCGCCTTAGTGTATTTATTTACGTTTTAATAAAAATATTACTTTTTCAACTTTATTGCGCAAAAAAGGTACACATTGTAAATGTCGCTACAAGTTTTCGAGATATATGCGTTTAAATTGATTAATGTACTCCTTTTGTTGTAATTAATGTGTAAAATAAATATTAAAAAAGTATATTTAAAAAAAAATTAAAAAACAATGACGAAGTTGGACAGAAACTAAATTTGTAGCATCTCTGAATGTATTTTTTAATCAAAACCTACTTATTAAAAGATTTTTTAGCCTTTGAAAAAAATGTTATGACCGCTTATAACAAGTAAAATGATCACACTTACGTTATGAAAGTAGGCGGTGGCGACCTTCTCGATGGGCGTATAAATGTCCGGCATCAGCAGCACCCAAACAGGCGTCGACGATTTATTAGCGTCGATCTGGCAACTCTCCAGCTGCCCGAAGATATTCGATCCGAAACCGTACAGCTTGCCCTCGCACGTCAGGATCAACGAGTGCGCATGCCCGGCCGTCACCTGCCTGATCGGGTGCGCAAAACTGAGCATGCGCGGCGCGTACTCGTTGTCGCAGCGCGCGTGTCCCAGCTGGCCGTGTATGCCCCATCCCCAGGTGTACGCTTTTCCCGCCAGGGTGAGCGCTATGCTGTGGTACTGCCCGGCGGCCGCGTCGATTATCTTGTGCTCGGACAACGTCGACAGGATTTGCGGGTAAGGGCTTTCTTGCACGTGCTTTCCCAGCCCCAACTGGCCGTACGAGTTCGAGCCCCAAGCGTACAGCTGCAAGAAAAATTTGAAGGTAAAACGTCGAATTACCAAAGTGCTATCTGCACTGCTAATTTTTGGAGGGACTGTTGGGTGTTTAGATATACAAAATCGAGACCCTAAAAAGAAAGTTATGCGAAACACATACTTAGGATATAACATCTGTGATATGATAACCATAATAAATTGTGATTTAAGTAATATCTACACTTGGCTCTGTGATAATAAACTTTGTATTAATATAGCAAAAATTAAAAGTATTGTATTTGGAAGTAAGAGCCAGAGTTGCGAGATTTGTACTTAAAAAGTATTGCCATTAGAATATTTAAGTTACTTGAGAATGGAGAAAATAAAAATTATCAATACATTGTATTTTTTACTCTAAATTGATTTAAAGTAAAAATACAAAAATAATTGTACTTATTAATTTGAATAAATATTATTTTTTAGTACTTTGTAATGCAAAAAGTTTAAAGTCAAAGTAAAAAATTGATTGTACTTAAAATATAAATGAAAATACAAGTACCAAGAATACATCGTCCTTCAAGTCATTGTATATTGTAAATAATTTTAATCAGAATCTAAAACTATCTTTATGCATATATTTAATATAATTGATAAACCTTTTTACAAATATTTTAATTATTGACATGTAAGTATTTAATATTTGTTATCAACCATTGTATTGTTACTTTAAACTATTAATTTTATCATTATCATGTTAACATAACCTTATAATAATTTTACATATTTTTGTAGTTTGCCTGAAGATGATCTAATATAGATCGAAACTAGTCGCAATAAAAGCATAAACAAGCACGGAAGTATCCTTATTTACCATTCTAATCAAATCAAAAAAAAAAATAAAAAATAAAATGTATTCTTTCTTTATTATTTTTTAATTATAAAATAAAAAAAATATTTAGAATCAGTAAACATTTTAAATTAAAATAAAAAGTACTCAATATTTTTCTCTCATTACAATTATAAAATCAAGTAATAATTAGTAATGATAGTATAATCCATTAAAAAAAATACTCAGTACTCCCAACTCTGGTAAGAGCAATGTAAGTAAAATTGGTAACCAAACTTTGTTACCTGTCCATATTAATAATATAAAAATTGATTTGGTAACACTGCAAATGAAAAAATATTGGCTGTATTCAAGTTCTATGGACCTGAATCTGGTTCTATTCAAGATTTGACCTTTTATATTTGCAGCTCATGTGTCCGAATACTTTTCGGCTCTTATACTTTGTTGACGTTTTTACCTTCATAGTCATTGAATATTTTGTGATGAATAGAAATCCGATATACAAAATTCAAGGAGCTGAATACTTCTCTACGGGTTAAGTTTCTCAATACCTTTCTGCAGTATTTGCAGTCAAAGTTTATGTATGTTTTGATTTCTACACCTGAGCCAAGCATTCAAATCTCGTGCTGATAAATATTATTCATTCTATCTTACATAGACGGTTTTACCTTTATAGTCTTTGAATATTTTGTGATGAATAGGAATTTGATATAGGAAATTTAAGGTGCTGAATACTTCTGAACAGGTCAAGTTCTCAATACCTCTCTGAAGTATTCAAAGTCAAAGTTTATGTATGTTCTGATATATACACTTGAGTCGAGCGTTCAAATTTTGTGCTGATGAATGTTATTCATTCTATTTCCGTGGAGGTATTTGGGCCATGTAAAAATTAATATTATATGCTCTATACTTGAGTCGAGGATTCAATTTCAAGGATTAAGTGGAAGAGAACGTGTCGTAATCGGGAGTAAAAATAGAAACCTCGACACGAGACGGAAGTGACGTCATATACGGAGGGAAAAAATCAAATATAATGCGAAATTGCCACATTTGCAGTGTTGCCAGATTTTATCAAAATTACCAGAATAAAAAATAATTTTTTTAATCATAGGTATACTCAATACAATATCAAGCAACACTTTGACAGGTGACAGATGATAAGTGACAAATGACAGGTTGGTGACAGATGAGAGATTTTTTAAATTTAAAACTCACGTAAAAAGCAAAGTAATAGGCAAATAACACTTATTTAAAATAATAATTTAATGTTTATTTTGTTTTTCACCCAATTTTCTACAAGCGTGCCGAAAGTTGCACTTTTCCGGTCGCTTACTTTCCGCACGCACGAAAGTGCGGAAATTAAATGCGTGTGGATATTACTTTGCGCACGTGAGTAGAACAAATAATTATGTACCTACTATGCTCCACACAGCAAAGAGCAACCACGTGACTTTGATATAAATAATTAAGGTTAATTTTCTGTCAGTGTCAAGCTAATTTTAACCTATTTTCTAAAAATAATGCAATAATAGTATATTAAAGAACTAATGTCATAAGACGTCATTTTGTCGCACGCGGACAATTTATAAAACGAGCGACGAAGGAGCGAGTTTTATAATGGACAAGTGCGACAAAAGGTCTTATGACATGAGTTCTTTATCCCTTACACTCCTGAGAAATTAAAATTAAAATTTTAAAGCAAAATTAAAGTTTTCTCGACAAAATTGCTTTAATATGAAAACCAAAATAAAAATTTTTTTTGAAGAGTCAAAGAATTAACCTTTCCTGAAGACACTTTAAGCATTCTACATTAAATAAAGCCATGTTTGTAATAAAAAGACAATGATTTACTATTAGACGCAATGATGTAAAGAACTAGCACGCTTAAATTGCCATCCAAAACAAAAACAAGGCGGAAATTGGTGAGCGCATGCTCTTGTCTGCGTAGTAAACACATATCACAATTGTACGATTGAGGAGTGGGAGCTCCACTGTATCATTTTAACCCATAAAGTATATGTACATAAGGAAGTCACAATTGTAGCCACCTGGAGCGTAAGGGTTATGCTATTTTATCTATTTTGCAAACATTTCATAAAACAAATTAATTTTAAAACAAATTAATTTTATATTTAATTTGGTCGAATTTTACTTTACATAGTTGGTATCTCAGTTTGAAGTTTGAAAGGTCATTAACCTTTCAAACATTATCACATTCTTTCGCTATGGCGTCGTTAATTTACAATAAGTATTTACAATAAGCGGCTGTTAAAGAAGAAAAAAGGATTTTGTATTAAGGGCATAATAAGGTTTTTATGGTCCGAGGCGCTATTTCGAGCCCGAGCGCGTTAGCGCGAGGGCTAAAAAAGCGTCGTAGGACCATAAAAACCAGTTATGCCAGCAATGCATACAAAACTTTATGCACGATTAATATATTATTATTTTTAATATATTATTGTTTTTAAAGACGTTTACGTCAAAGAATTTTTGTTATAATTGTCATATTATAATGTCAACTGACATCAGTCAGTTTTAAAGTTTAAAGATAAATGAAATTGAGGAAGCAGCTGAAAAGGCGAAAAATTGCGGCCTGCTGCCGGTAAAATCAAAATCTTTATACGAAAAAACTTACTTCGAATATATCAAATGGTGTAACATTGTTGTTTTTAATTTTTGACGTTTCATTATAGCCCGCTGGGCCATAATAAAGCCCGCGGGCTATAAAAAGATGTTTACGTCAAAGAATTTTTGTTATAATTGTCATATTATAATGTCATCGTGCATAAACAAAATTTATTGCACGAAAAGTCTCGTAAGTACTAGAAAACAAATCATAAAAATATTATAACCCATAGGTACCTATTCAAAATTGTATTTTACCAGTAGCCAACCTATAAAATCAAAATTTTGGGTGGAATAAAGTACCTCATTAAAGAACCAAAAGCGGTGTTATAATGAAGTCATTATGAAACCAAAATAGATAAATGTATTTTTTGTGTTCTAAATTAAGACCTTTATAAGTACAGAAAAAATACATATTTTCAGAAAATATGACAAAATTACCTTCATTCTGAAAATTAACCTTAATTATTTCTATCAAAGTCACGTGGTGGAACTTGTGTGGAGCATAGTAAGTGTTAAAAGTAATTTTATTTTGTGAAAAGGGAAATTGGATAACGAGCGGGGCAAGTGATCCAACCATTCAAACAAAATAAAAACATTTGTAACATTTACATCAAACAATATTTTATCTATAAACATTAATAATTGGGTCAGAATTTCTCAAACGGGCCACCTGAATTAGGTCAAAATTAGTTTTTGATTGTAGATACATTTTTTCGATAGTATTTTACATCACTAACACAAATCCTAAAGGATTTTGTAAAAAAAAAATTTCAATTGACATATTCATGATATTAAAAGTAAAAGTTTTTAGTAATTAAAAAATAAAAAAAAAAATCATTATGGCTAAACTAATTATCCGATTCCAACGATTTAACTAGCGTTGGAATCTTGTTTTGACATAGATTCTTTGTTATTTTTTTCAATTGTACAATTTTCATTTAGGTCGATTTTTTTTTGTTTTTTTATAACAAATTCGGAAATAATTGGCTTCTGCGCCAGCTATCGACTCGAAAAAAAAAACACATATACTCCAATCATTTTTCGAAATTATGCTGCTGAGAAAAAAAATGGCCCGCAGGTTCCAGACCACCGTAAGACGTCGCGTCACAAGCGCGAACAGCGTACACGGTTCGGAGCGTGAGCTGACACCGCGCGCGGCCACAAAAGGACGAATAACTTTTTGTCAACCTGCGGGCCATTTTTTTTCTCAGCAGCATAATTTAGAGAAATGATTGGAGTATATGTGTTTTTTTTCTCGAGTCGATAGCTGGCGCAGAAGGCAATTATTTCCGAATTTGGTATAAAAAAACAAAAAAAAATCGACCTAAATGAAAATAGGACAATTGAAAAAAATAACAAAGAATCTATGTCAAAACAAGATTCCAACGCTAGTTATATCGTTGGAATCGGATAATTAGTTCAGCCATAATGAATTTTTTTATTTTTTAATTATTAAAAACTTTGACTTTTAATATCATGAATATGTCAATTAAAAATTTTTTTTTTACAAAATCCTTTAGGATTTGTGTTAGTGATGTAAAATACTATCAAAAAAATGTATCTACAAACAAAAACT